TGTGCCATGTCAAGTTAATTGCGTAATGGTTTCATTTTCAAAATGTTACTTTTAGAAATCATTATTTGCGCCTTTATCATCACCGACTCGCTCCAAAGCTGTAACACGCACAATTAATTACCGAGGTCAAAACAAAAAAAGAAGACATGGCTGCGCTTCTGAGGCGTCGCTACTGGAATTGGGCTGTAAGCAACTCGCGGCAGTGGTAATAAGCTGGCGCAATCTTTGGAATCTTTGTATTATTATCAGAGGTCTGTGTTGATATGCACCGACTCTGCACGGTTCGGCTAACCGGCGTGACGTTCCAAAATGGACCGGTCCCAAACCAGTTAATCTGGTGGATGGCCAGGAGCACTGACGTTGAGAGGACAGCTTTAATTGACTTTAATCGACTCACGTCGGCATTTTCCTTTAACAACAACAACAGGTAAACAGCCGCAATCAACTCTACCGGAACGTTCCAAAACATGACGACGACCAAGCGCGCCGAAGGCCTCCTCGGGAGTGGGAACTACTTTCACTGGGAGTACAATATGCGCATGACGCTAGCCAGGAAGGGCCTGCTTGTGCATATTCAAGCCGTCAAGCCGGAGAACGAGATCATCGAGGCGTGGCTCGTCAATGATGCCAAGGCGCTCGGCATCATCGCTCAGGGAGTGGAACTCCAGCATCAGACCAAGATTTCGGTCGGCCACTCGTTCCATAGAAGCTTGGGGAACGCTGCGAGAGTTCTATAACCGCACCACCGCGTGACGATGACGCGTCGCCTCCACGAGTTCAAGATGGAAAGTGGATCGACTATGGCCAAGCATCTGGATGCGTTTGATGAGCTGATCGTCGGGTTGCAGACGCTAGGAGAGCCCATGGACGAGGCACGCCAGCTGGTGGTGCTGCTGAGCAGCCTCCCCGATGAGTACGAGCTCTTTTCCTTCTATTCGTGGGAGAAGCCCCAGGGTGTGGAGCGTTTCTTGCGGAGGCCAAGGAAAAGGCTTTGGAAGGAGTTACGAGGGGACTCGAGAGGAAGGAAAACCATGGAGAAGGGGTTGCCATTACAAGTAAATGGGAACGCAGGCAAGTTCCGGAACGGCCGAGGGAACGGTCAAAAATGGAACGATCGAAAATGGAACGGTCCGAAACGGAACGTTGGTTTCAAGGGCAAGTGTTTCAACTGTGACCAAGTGAGTCACATGAAGCGGGACTGTCCTGCTGCAAAGAAGAGCAGTCAAGACGATGCAGTGTTTGCAGTTGGTGGGGAACGCTCGGCCGAGTGGCTGATTGATAGTGGTGCGACGTCGCACATGACCCCCTACCGGAATGACCTATTTGGGTACGAGGCACTAGACAGTGGCATCAACGTGACGATTGCAGATGGTAAGAAGCTGCGCGTCGCAGGACCCGGAACGGTCAAGTTGACTGGTTTGGACGGTAAGCGCATCCGAATGGTGGACGTGCTCCACATTCCGGGGCTTGATAGACGGTCATTGTCGGTCGGGAAGCTCGCGGAACGAGGCATGAGCGTGGAGTTTTAGCGTTCCAGTTGTGTAATTTGGGAACGGAACGCTGCGATAGCGTCAGGGAAGAAGGTCGGTAAGGCGTTCCTGCTGGACTGTCAGCAGGAGGAGGCACACTTCGTTCAATACGCCGGTCCTGACAGCGAGTGGAGGCTTTGGCACGCTCACATGGGTCACCCCAACAAGGACGCGCTGACGAAGACTCAACGTTCTACAATTGGTATCCCACATGTGACAAATAGGAACGAGACTCTGTGCGGTGGATGTGTGGAGGGAAAGCAGACCGTGACGACGTTCCCGTCACGATCGCTAACGAGAACGACGTGTGTGTTGGAACTAGTACACACGGACGTAATGGGCCCAATGAGAACGATCTCAAAGGGTGGTGCCAAATATGTTCTGACGTTCGTAGCCGACTACTCAAGGACTGTCGTTGCGTACTTTATGAAGAGCAAGAGCGAGGTCGGCAGCAAACTGAAGGAGTTCAAGGCATTGTACGAAACACAGTGGGGGGAACGTCTAAAATGTCTTCGTTCCGATAATGGAACGGAGTTCGTGAACAAGACAGCTCTGGAACTATGCAAACGGAACGGCATCGTGCATCAGCGTAGCGTTCCATACAGCCCTCAGCAGAATGGAGTGGCGGAACGCATGAACCGACCCATCATGGAGAAGGCAAGAAGCATGCTGCACTACAAGTCTATGTCGACGCAGTGGTGGGCGGAAGCGGTTAGTACTGCAGTGTATCTCATCAACCGTTCCACGAGCACATCAAACTCTGATGTCACGCCGTACGAGCTGTCGTTCCAGGTGAAGCCACGGATAGAACACCTACGTGGTTTTGGGTCACAAGGGTACGCTCATGTGGACGACGTGATGAGAACGAAGCTGGAACCCAAGAGCTTCAAGTGCACGTTCCTCGGGTACGCTAAGAACGTGAAAGGATATCGTGTGTACGACATGGATGCGTCGAAGGTCAAGGTGACACGGTCGGTCAAGCTGGACGAGCGTGAGGTGGGCGGAATCTATGACACGCAGTCGCCAGCTTCAGGAACGGTCATCCATGTGACGAGGAACGATGATACGATCGTTCCAATATCGGGAGTGGAACGTCAGCCTGCTCAGGATGAACCGATGGAAGAAGCAGAGGGGCCTGCTCAAGACATTGAGATGGACGACCTTGAACCGGAACGGAACGCAGAAATACAGCAGCTACCCGCGCCGGAGGAACCCAGGTTAAATGGGTTGGATTTGGCAACGTTTTATTCGCAGCCTCCATCGTTCCATGAGGACCGGATGATCGTCCATCCTGAAACGGAGCGATCCACGCGCTCTCGTGAACCGTTACTTCTACTTGGGAACGGTGACGATGAAGATGTGGAACGTAGAAGTGATGGACCGCCATCTCCTAAGCGTGCCAGAATCGACGAAGATGGTTTGCTCGCAGAGGCAGTGTTGGCGTACGCGGCCAGCATTGGTGGCGTTCCAGATACGCCTAACACGTACGCAGAAGCTATTG